CATTTTATGGTTCTCTGTAATGTTTGCAGTAATAAGGCACTGAGGCATTTTCCTATTCCCTTTCACAGTGAAAACTTAAGAAACCTAATTGTTTTGAATACATTTCCTGGTCTTATTTACTTACAATTAATCATGGTACCAGGACCCTTCTTAAGCCTGTCTTCTGGTGTCACTTTGTGCTGGTTTTGGCTGGGACAGAGTAAATTTTCTTCATAATGGCTGGTCTGGAGACATGTTTTGGATTTGTGCTGAAATCAGTGTTGATAATACAGAGATGTTTTTCTTATTCTGAAGCAGAGCTTGCACAGTGTCAAGGCCTTTTCTGCTTCTCACAACACCCCACTCTTGAATCATTACACTTGCTTTTCATCATGTGCCTCATTTTCCTCTTTTTGGAACCTTTCTTTGAACTCTTAGTTGGCTGTTGCCACCAAACCCAGGAACGTTCACAAGCTTACAGGCTTTCTTCTTTCAAGTGCTTTGGCAAGAGGTGTATGTTCACAAAGACTGAAGAGGGTAGGAAGTGGTACATTAGCATATAAACACAGTTCAGAAATTCCCAGTTGCAGTTTTTAGTTGGTACCCCTTGAACTGTGCTTTCAGGTCCCCACCTGTACTTTCCATCATCTGCTGCTTTTCTGTGCAGTTTCTTGAAGGAATGGTTTTCTGTAGGAATTGTGTTTATCCTCGTGATAGCCACCTGTCTTAGCAGACCTAATTCTGATTCCTTTTTTGTTGTAATTTGTTTGTTTGGCATCTGACTGTTGTTTCTCAGGTGCACAAAGAAAGTGACAGCATGGAAATCCATCAGGTCCATCCGTGCTGCTGCTTTGTTCAAGTACAGTAATTTCCTTGCCCTTCATTCCCCTCCACAACAATTCTTTCCTCAAAAAACACACCATCTCTTTTTGCTCATCTTTGGAGCCCTGTTTTACTAGGCTGCCTACTGATGCTCAAGCACTCTAATTACTCTGTCATGATGCCTGTACATATTTTCATTTATTTTTTAACTTTAGAAAAACAAATCCTATCCTGCAAAACCAGGTAATGGGCTGGCCAGAAAACCTGTTTTTCTGTGTTCTTTTTTTTTTGTTCCTATTATGTTTTAATAACTGATACAAACTGTAAATGAAACCCTTGGTGTTGGAGAGTAGAAAAGAGAGTAGCTGAGAATGTGGGCAGAAGACTAATAAAGGTAAAATTAATATCTGCTTTTTGTGTCTTCTTGCAAATACTTTTCTCAAAATCAAAGTATAAGTGTGTTGGACTTGGAGATCTGCTTCTAATTGAAGCTTTGTTTCAGTATAATTAACGTTTAGGAGATTAGTGCACTTTTATACTTCTGCAAATGTACTGTGCCTTTCCCTGACAGTGGCTAGATAGCTGTGCTGAACCAGAGTCTCCTAGTGAGATACTCATGGCTGCAAGAATGGTGGTAGCAGAACCTTGAAACTTTTAAAGATGTTGCTACCTTCCAGTTGTCCAGTGGATGTAACTTCTGCTAGGGAAAATTAGCAGTATTTTCATCAAAATTTGCAGGGAGTAAAGCTCCTCTTAGTATCTTATAGGTGTCTTACTTTGCAATGAAATTTATTAGTCTTGATCTGAATTGGGGCGAATACTTCTAACAGCTGGGTATCACGTCAGAAAAAAATGAATGTTTTTCTACCTCAGAAGTAAAACCTTCAGTACTGAAGATACTTTTTACTAGCCAACAAAAGTAATATAGAGTAATAATTAAAGTAGTGGTGTGTGAAGTATGAATATATTAATATTAATTGTGGGAAGTGGCTGACCTGAGGTTTTTCTGTGTATCTTAGATTTGATTCCTCCATCTTTTTGGGGTTTAATGTTGAATATGGGAACAGATTGCAACTTAGTTTTATTATTGATGTAAATGAAAATAAGTCTGTCTGCATGAGTAGAAACTGCCAGAGTTAGAGGGTATGGACCCTTTCTAACAAAACTCCACTAATGTTTCTGAAAATTGTGTTCTCTAAATTGACTATACCTTTTAATTTATGCTTGATGTGAGATTTTTACTTGAAAATTATAGAGAGATGTGAGAGTAGGGAGTCTGTACCTGCAGCCTGTGAAAATGTAGGGTCTGCATTTAAAAGGTTGAATGGTTTTCAACAATACACATTGCTAGATATTTCCTTGTTTCTAATTATGTACAGAGCTGAGGTCTTCTCCACCTCTTCTGCTTTGTTAAATAACTTTATTCTCTCACAGATGTTTGGCCGCATATCTTTTTTTTGACACAAAGTATACCTTACTTCTTTGAGTAGCTAGGTTCCTCCAGCTGCCTAGTTTCAGTTCCCTGACTTATGCTTCTCCTCCGTGACAGAGGTTAAGGTAACGCCTTATCAAAGCAGCAAGTTATCAAATGCTTATTAATCACATGCTGCTGAGCTTCCATATCAGCTTATTTCTTTCTAAGGAAATCCTACATTTTTAAAGACTTTAGTTTGGATTATGGTAGACTTGAGTCAGGTTTGACGGTTTAGATTGATGCCTTTGGGATTATTAGAATAAGAGTGCCATTCATTCATTCAGTGATTCATGAATCCTTCTAAATTACATTTGGCTTCTCTTCCATGAGATGTGTATTTTTGTAAGTATTAAAACTTTGATTTTATACTTAGCAAGAGAGGAAGAACATAGCAATTGAGGATGAAAAGTCCTTCCAGAAAAAAAAGCCTAAAGACTTGTTGATACTGGACAGCAAAGCAGGAAACTACATGTGTCATAAAAGGCTCCAGCTTGTTGGATAAAGGCTGAAACTCAGGATGTAGTCTATAAATACAAAACAGGTTCATAAAAATATTTTAAAGGTGCAGTTCTGAGCACTTTAGAGAAGCTGACTGATAACTGTTCAGCTATTTAATATAAATATATTTGTGCAGATGCATACACACACACTCAATACAATACTTTAATCTTTAAACATGAAAGATTGATGTTTATTTCCCTTATGAGACTGGTATTGGTAACACCAGATATAAATTTGGGACCATATTTTTTGCAGATTCTAAAACAGCAATTTATTGGAGAAACAGAAAGAAATGGACTCTAATTTCAACAGGCAGAAGGGAAGGAATTTGTGAAGCTGAATATTTACCTGCACAAAAAGTCACAACCTTTTTTCCCCTACAGTATTTTGTCACAAGTTTTTGTTTTTAAGCAGCACATCTAGCAGTCTTCTGGGGATTTTGGGAATGTCTTCTATCCTGACCAGCTGATAGCTGTTAAAATCTGTCACTCATCTTGAAAATAGAAGTGTTTGTACTTGAACTTGCTCAGGCTGTTGGCCAAGCAACATGGCTGGAACAGATTTACTAGCTGCAGCTAATGACCATGTTCGCTTTTTTCCCTTTGACTTGTCAAGTGTGAACTTAAAGAGATGCTTTTGCTTACACAGTTGCTTTGGGTTTTAGACTGAAATGACCATAATTCAGAATTGCTGCTTAAAATACAATAATTTGGATATCAGAATAATTTGTAACAGTACAAGAGTGTGTTTCTGGCTGATTATCTGTTGTTGTGCTTTGTTGTACTGAACAAGGAAAGGTTGAAAAACTTATTTTTATTGCCATGTTTTAAATTTTTTATCTTTTACCAAATACCAGAATAACACTACTACAGCAGCCTCATAATAGCTGAGTAGCTCTAATGCTATGCCACTCTGAATATGCTTATGCCTTCATCTTTTTCTTGTTATTTTTTCTAATTTTAATTATTTACATGCAGATACCAGTCTGTCTGAAATCCCCGTTGTTACTTTTTTCTGTTGTACAACTGTTTCAAAGGCAGTCTCCCAAGATGAGACTTCATCCACCCACCCAACACAAACAAACTCTTATCTTTGGTGTACTATTGTCAAGACCCAACTCAGTCAGATTTGATGTCAAGATCCAAAGACTGAGTGAAGAAGCCCAAAGTAATTGGAATCTGACGAATATTGCTGCCTGTTTGGTTTGTTAACAGTATGAGACCAAAAACGGTTTTCTTGAACTTGTGCTTAAGCTGTTTCTGCATGTATTTTTGAGATTTTTGTTAAAGGAGCCCTGTGTTTCATCTCATGGTCTGTTACCTGACTGCTGTCCTCTTTCTAGACTGAATAGCTGATTAGAAAATTAAAGTAATTTGAACCCACTCAGAATTGTTAGCTTAAAGGAAGCTGCTGTGCCATCTGCTTGTGCTAGTAAGGGTGCTGGACCACATACTGTCAAATAAAACCAAACCACAGAAATCTCATGTACCCAAGTACTTTTCTGTGTGATTAGAGCTGGTCTTACCTCAGGTGGCATTTTGAGAAAAAGAATATAAGCAGGGATTTAGGTCATAGCTTGTAAACTACCAAATTCTGTATGGTTGTTTTGCATGTAAAAAGCAGTGGTGAAACACATTCATTTCAGGAAGGCAATGTTGTTATCCTCCCCTTCTGATGGTGGAATTTAAGGATTTTTATTTTTTCTGAGCATAAGACAGTGTTTTAGAGTGGACTTTTAACAAGGACTGCTTTGTCAGCTGTGTGGAGGTCATCTGCAGGGGGGCTAGGTGGTGTTTCTTGCCTGCAGGGGCACAGGACTGTATGAGTCCCTTAAGAAGATGATGTGTCACACTCGTGCTCTTCGCCCTGAATCATTTCCATTGCGTGTCTCTGAGCAGTTTCAGTGTGGGGAAAATAATGACATGAAAGAAATTTAGAATTGATACCTGTAGGTCACCTGTTAAATTTCAGAGCTTGGAGATTATGCTGTTACTCTAGCCCATATGAAGGCTAGAGACCATCTATAGCTGACTGAATGCTTGTCCGGTATTGCTAAACACCTTTTTGAAACCTTTAACTCCAAAAGAAGATGTAGGGTTCTAATTTTGGAAATTTACGTTGTTTTAACCAAGATGCAGCCTTTAAGGACACTGTTCTCTTATCCATTCTCAAACTGTGGCTTTGATGATGAAGCTAAATGCCTTCCCTGTTGCTGTGTCTTCAGGCATTGCTGCAGGGAGCCTCTGGGAGTTCCAAGGTGAAGAAATCTGCCTTCATCTGGAGGCCTCTGCTAAAGGTGAAGACCTCCTAACGCGCCAGACAGCCTTAGCAGGAGTTCAGAAGTCTTACACCAAGGTAAAGTGGTTCATTTTTCAAGCAAATTGAATTGTCTGATACAATTCTCGAAATAAGTATTTTTCTTCTTGTGTAATAAACACTCAAGTGCATCTCTGAGCATTCTCCTTCTTTTGTGTGTATAGCTCCTTGCTACCTGATACAAATGTTGTAATAGCAAATTCTGGGGGAGGGGAGAGGAAAACAACATAATATGCATTGTAGGTTAGAGCCAGAAGTAATTCCTTAGATTATTAGTAGGAAGATACATCTACAGTTCTTTGTTGGCAAGGGAACAGGCTGTTTCTGAGCTCTACAACATGCTCTGTTTTTAGAAACATATCCCACTTTAAGTGCCATATTCAGAGCTCGCTTTGAGTGGCCACAAAAATATGGAAACACTCTCTGGTATCTTCAGCAATGGGAGAAGAATGAGGTTTGTATACGATGATTATCTGTTTATCATCACTGTGGTAATTTTTTAGCATCCACAGCCCATTCTTGCTTGTACAGGATAAATACTGATGAAAGAAAAGGACATGTCACCCCAAGAACATTGTTGAAATTTTCCATGTTACAGTTGCACACACTTGGGGAGATTTGACTATGCTATGGTTTTGTTTGCCAGAGTTTTGAAGGTAGTGATGATATATGCAGGATCTTTCCTTCATACTGACAAGATTAATTGAACTAAGTGTAGAGAGTTGGCTGAAAAAAGTGAATAGTAGTGGAATGTTTATTTGGGATTGAAGGTAGGTGCTTCTAAAGTTCTGTCAGCTTCTCCATTTTTGAAAACTACCTGTTGCAAGGTGCTAACTTTGTTGTTGGAAAGCTTCCTAAATGAATATTTCTTGATTCACCTGAGAAGAATTGCAGGTTTTTCTAGTTAATCCTTTATTGATCTTAATTTAAACTGAAATTAGAGTTCTGAACTAGACCGAAGTTTGTTGTCCTTCCATCCATGGAGTAAAATCAAAATTGCTGTTAAGTTCTCCCATTAGCAGAGTCAGTGCTTCAACTCATAATCTTCCCTCATGATCTGCTGTACACATCAGGGGGTGAGTGTAGTAGGCACAGTTAGGCCCCCTTTGCTGCACCATGCCCTCTCTCTTTGCTTCACATTTCTTGGATTTCAGCTGCACTCATGTTTCTCCAGTCCACTAGCAAGGTCATCTTGAACAACTGAGGACACTGTATTCAAACCCTGACAGAGCAGAAAAGCTGCTGCTGATGATTGCAAAGTTATTTCAAACTGAAGGAAAAAAACCCATCCAGAAATACTTATCTCTGTAACATTTCTCTTTGTTACATTTGCCTTAGGAGTACACAAAGCAGTACAAGTTGAGATAACCATACATTACAAAGACACAGCATTTCTTCTGGGAGTTAAACATTTATTTATTTTTGAAGTGCAGTTTTATGCTTTGAGAGAGTAAAGACTTCACAGAAGGTATCCTCATAACCCCATGGGATGCATGGATGTGTCTAGGTGGGATGGTGGTTGGGTTTCAAACACAGCAGTGTTAGTGTAGTGCTGGGTTTTGGTGATGCACAGCATCCATGAGTGAAATGCAGCCTTGAACACTCTCACTGCTTCCAACAAGGCAGTTTGTTCTGTGCCTCTCTGTCTCGTTTCCCTTTGTTGCTAACTAGAAACACATGATATGAGACAGCCAAATGTTCTGGTGAAAATCAAGGACACTTCATAGCTGTGAAGATTTTATATTTGCCCTAGATTTTTTTTCTTTCCTTTTCCTCATTGATGCAGCTGTAAGTGTTGTAAATTATATGAATAATTGATCAAGGAGTTCTTGTTACCTCAAATCATGTTATGGTTATTGCTTTTTAAAACTGCTGCTCTTTGTTGTACTACAGCATTGCCCCTATGCTGTTCTGTGTGTGTGGTTTTTATAGCCTTAAAGTTTTCTTCTGCTTCTGACCCTTTGCTCTTCCCATCTTTCCCCTTCTCTGCAAAAATATGTTGTTTCTGCTTCAGTGTATTCTGTGATCTAAGTGAAAAGCAGAGTCCTTTTTAATAGACAGCAACACATTTTAAAAGCCCTTCCCAGCCCTGGGAACAGTGCAGTGCACACATCTGGTTTCACATAAGCATGAATTGCTGGCTTCACAAACACGGAGCATGTAGTCCTTGCCACAGAGTTAGCTAAAGTGTTCTGTAACTTGAGACTCTATTTGAAATAAAAACAAAATTGTATAGCTTCTTTACCATGCTAATGGAAAACATTTAATTTGCTTTTTTCAAGCCAACCAAAAGTATGACGCAATGCTGCTCCGGCAGATTTACAGTGCCTTTTCTTCCCTGGAAATCAATACGGCTTGGAGGGGCTGCTGTGGGAGCTGGCTAGCTGACTGCAGTCCAGCTGCATTCAAATGTAAACTTCTGTACCACAAACCAGAACTGGTGATTTTGATTTACTCAGGCATCACCGTATCTCTGAGATTGTGGTGTTGGATTTTATTCTTTGCTTTATTGAAGTTAATACTAGATTGGATTTCAAAATAGCAAGTTCAGTGGGCTTATGATTTTTTTTCATGAAATCATTCAGTGATTTTCTATGTTTCCTGAATTGCAGTACTTAGGTCTGTGGTAGTGATATCAGCAAAAGCAGATCTCCATACATGGCCAGGTGTGCCTTTCAGTGGAGTGTTTCCCCCCAGCCCCCCACCTTAAAATCAAACAAAAGAAGGGGCAACACCAAAAAGCAGGCCCTCATTCAGTGTGAGCATTAAGGGCTAGCATAAGCATTTTCTACTTTGCACAGAATAAGCCCTGAATATTAAATGTTGTTTGATTTCTCTCCTGCTAGAAGAGGTAAAATGCAAGAGTTCTTTGTGAGCCCAAAAAAAGTTTTCAGAGGAGAATCATGGTTTCATAAGTGAAACCAACAGTGCATATTTTCATAGTACACCAACTATTTTGCCTTTGTTTCCTTTCTGATTCCTCACTGTCTCCACTAATAGCTTTGACTTTATTTAAACTCTCCACCATAAGAGGCTGTTGATGTTCCTCTCCTTATTTTTTTTTCCTTAATGGGATTTCAGTCTTGCTTAAAAGCTTTACCTCTGGCAGAAGGTCTTCTCTAGAATGGCCCTTTGGGATCCTTGACACTGCTTTTCTCCCTGAATGCTGTGTTTCTTTGGGAAGTCTGTCCCTGGTGGTCTGCGTCCTGGTCATACCAGACACAGTTCTATCAGAAGGAAAATCACAATTTGATTGCTAGTTTGCCAAAAGGATATTTCATCTTCTTTTTAAGAAGAAAATTTCTACTTCCATTTCTCATGCAACTGTGATCCAGGTTTTTTTAGTTCTCCATCCATTTTTTTCTCATATACTTAACAAACCCATGTAAACAGCTTGTGAGTAAACAGCTTGAGGAGACAGTGTAGAGGAATTGAGGTCCTTTTTGCAGGGATGGCTCGGGATGTCATGGGTTAGCAAAGAGATACAGACACATTTTGGAAATACATTTGACCCATAGGTTTTCTGTTTGACTGTTCCAAAGTTCTTGTGAGCATGAAAGGTCTGTCATTATAGTTTTCCTTTTGCCATCTTCCCTGCACTAGCACTGGCAATCCAGGCTGGAGTATGCCATAAAGACTTCTAAAGCTACACTTTGAATAAAGCTTACATTTACTACAGAATATTTGCTTTGCATGGTTACAGTACAAGCAGTGTATTCCTGTGTAAACACTGTAATGAAGTTGTTAAGAAGAAAGGAAACACTTACAGCATTTGCACTAAAGTTCATGGAGCATGAGATAGCTGCGCTTAGGATGCCGATACTTTGAAGGGATTAAAAAACCTTCTCAGAAATAAACACAAATAACATTCTCAGACTAGCAAAACAGTATGCAAATGATGAGAAGAACAGCACTAATTATTATGTAGAGAATAATCTGATTTGAAATGCCACAGTGGAATCCACTTTATGATCTGACCTTCCTACATATGAATTGAAAAGCAGGAAAAAGTACAGGGCATGACCTAAAAATGGTAGTCTGGAAGCTTCTTTAGGTATGTTGGGTCTTATTTTTGTCTAGCCTGAAATGTAGTTTTTCCTCTTGAGTCAAACCTGAATAAACTGGTTTGAGTGTTTGCGTTGTCCTCATGGTTCCAGCTCTGCCAGACATAGCTACTTTATTTTAAGAATTGCTCTTACTTGGAATTTGAGTCCTACTGGAAACAGTATTGTCAGGAGGCTGCAGTCTTGCTGTTAAGAAACTTAAGTAAGATAAGGCTAATCCTATTGTATGCTTCTACTTTCGGAGGTAGTGTAGAAACTTGCCATTCCTAGTTAGAGCACCGCACCATTCACTACCTGTGTTATGGGGTTTCTCTCCCTTTTTTTTCTGAATTGCTGGCTTGGCTGGACATTAATATTGAAAATGTTTCACACAGTTGTAGATGGCATTATACTGTGCCTACTTTCAAACTTACAGAAAAATAAACCAGCTCTTGTTTTCTATAAGGCAAAGAAGGTGAGAGAAAATAAATTTACCTATAGTCTCTTTGATTGTGTCAAATTTAGGTTTCTTTTATACAGGATGTTTAAATTGTTTTATTTATGTATCAGTAGAGTACAGATTAGGATACTTAATACCTGTGGGCTTTTGCTGATATGATTTATAAGTTTCAAAACCAGAAACACTTTGCACATAGTAAGAATTTTTGTGTTGTCATTTTGGATTGGTGCTGAACCAAACTTCATTATCCTGCTCCAGGAAGAGGTAGTATTGGCTATTAAAAAAAAAAAAAAACAAACCAAGAAACAAAAAACCAACCGACAACAAACAAATATAATAATTCTCCTACAGGTGTAGCAGGATGACCTACTTCCAATATTTCTTCTTACCTTGATCTTTTGCATTTGGAGATTAAACTGCAAAATTACTTCAGAATGAGGTTATTTATTGATTTGTCTAAATCAACCTTAGGTTTCTTAAAACTTGCAGCATAACAGATGATTTGTAGAGAATTAGGCTGCTAGAGTGTATGTTCT